GTAACGCCGACAAGGTTTGACCGGAGGAAAATTGGCGACTCCCTCGCCGGAGGGAAGAGGCGGGGCTGTGATTCCTTCGTTTTAACGCGAAAGCATTAAAGTATAAACCGCATCTAAGCGATTTTGCAAGAGACGAGACAAGCGACGGCGACCCACGTCGTTGTCGCACGGTAAGTCGCGTGATGCGTCAAACCGCATGAAAGCGGAAGGAGCAAGCAACCAAGGCGATGAGCGACGTTTTCTAGAAATTCAAGAACCGAGCGACGCGACGAGCGACAGAGTTCTAAGTGGAGAGTGGAAACAAGACTGAAAAATAAAGTTCTCTCCAACCTGTGCCACTCGAGGTATAACAGGTTTAAACCAATAAAAATAATAAAAAAAAAATATAATAAATTAAATAAATAAAGCTAAATTGCTTTTGCCTTTTTTGTATAAAATTGCCAATTGGAAAAAGGGAAGAAGCGAAACCTCGCAATTGAACGGGCCTGTAAAAATCGCGGGGTTTTTTATTTTCTTTAAGTGTATTCTTAGAATCTCCTTTTCTATAGTTTGCGATTTATATTTCCCGTTGCAGTCCTTGTGTCTTGTTTCTGTTTCTTCTGGCTTGAGGTGTTTTCTTTAACTTGTGGTTTATTGTAAGCTGTAAAAAATGAGAAGTAAAATAAGTTAGTAAATCTATTAATATGTTTATTCATAAATATACCTGCTCATGTGTTCACCTGCTTTGTTCGTTTATAGCTATTGGTAATTGTCAGCTTAAAGCTAATCGAAAAATGGTTTGGTCAAATAATTTTATCACTAATGAAATTTTGAAAATGTTTTAAGTAATATGTTTTGAGAAAGCCTTATTCAAGCCCAGTGACCGGAATATCCGGACCGCCAGGCTCTCGCTTGTTTTGTACAGTGAATTGATTTTTGATTGAGTGTTTCAAGATAAGAAGTGGTTTTATAGTTATAATTGGTGAATCAGTGTTAACGCTAATAAATAAATGCAAAAAGAAAGGATCTAAATATCTGTATATAGAGAGAGAATAAGACAATACAAATATACAATTATAATGGTGTGTGATGTCAAGTTGTGGGGTAACTATAGTGTAGAATATTGTCTAGATTGCGCCACAAAACAATTTGAATAATTTTGAAATCGATGCTTTGTTAGTAGGAAATAATTATTATGTGAAGTCCGTATTGGTTATGTACAGCTATTTACATGGTGCGAATGTAGAGAAATAAAATTAGCGATGTGTGTGAAAACAGATTATGCTAGTGTTTGAGTGGTTATTTTCGGTGGAGTATTTATTACGATAAGCTAAGAATATATAATTTAGAAAATTTTTTTTTTTTCAATTATATTTATTATTTTGTCATTTCTATCAATAATGTACTGATGTAAGGTGGGTACAAGGATAATTAGGGAAATAGTGGTTTTAAAGGTCAAAATAACGACATTAAAAGATGTGTTATTTTGAGAATATGGCAGTAACACTTGTGAAAGCACTTGCACCAATGAGTTTAGAATGATCCGTTTTGATGGGTATACTCTATTTTCATACTTAGTTTATGAATTCAGGCCATCCACATGATCTCCCAGTATACACATTTGTACATTATTTACATATTTACATTTTTTCTTCTATTTGGAAACATGGAGAATGTTAAGTTATATATTTTTTTTTCTTTTTGTAAAAAGAATGTTAAGGGTTACAATTACTGGCTTGTAAATTTTATATCTCATATCGAATTATCCACCATCTGTCCCTTTACATTGTTTTTTTTTTTTTTTTTATTTTTAATTAAGTATTGTAATGTTTTCTTCTTTCTTTTTATGTGTGGCCAGCAAGGTTCGATGTATCTTAGCGGGTTGATGTTAGAATTAGAAGAATATGTTGAATTGTAGGTTGCAGGGATGTTTCCCATTCAATTCAATTGAAAGCAGCAATTTTGGTTAAGGTTTTTCGTGCGAGTCCGGAAGATTTTCATCCGCCGGACCGGGCGACTCCTGGTCTGGATGGCACACCAGGTAGCCCCCTACCACCTTCTTAGGGATGGTACGCCACAACCTTGTTTCTAATTAGGTTTTCCTTTTGGTTTCAGGTTTCTCTGCGGGTTCGCAAGATATTTATCCGCCAAACCGGGCGACTCTTGGTCTGGGTGGCGCACCAAGTAGCCCCCCACCAACCCATAAGGGAAGGCGCGCCATGAACCGTCAACCAAGCCACCTCCCTGTCAGCCATCATCTTGCATTCCCTGTTGTCTGCTGTTTTCTGTTGAACGTCTTTTTGGTGTTTAATTAGGTTACTACCTCTTCCTGAATAAACATCATCATCCGCTCCATAACCTTTATGGCTTTGACATTCGACAAAATTGACCATTTCGTAGCATTATCGAATACGGTATATTTAAGTTTGTTTAATTCGTTACGGAAAGTCAATGTCCAAGGGCAGGTAGTTAGATAATGTTCGAAATTAGCGGTCGGAAGTCCGCAAAAGCAATTATTAGTATTCGTTATTTTAAATCTAAAAAGATAAAAAGGAAATCTTCCATGCCCGGTTATAATTTGTGTTAAAAGATGTGAAGATGGGAACATTTCCGGTATGTTGTATACAGTGGGAATCCATGTAAATAGTTCTTTTTCTCTGCCCAATCTTTTCCACTCATCATCCCATTCCCTCCTTACTTCTTTATTTAATTCTTTTTTAACGGTTTTTTGTGAATAAAGACAAGAAACTATTCTTCCATTAAAGTGTGCTAATTTCGCGTAGTGGTCTGCCAGATCATTCCCTTCATCACCTGCATGAGCCTTCACATAGAAAAAATGTATGGTATTTTTATTTTGTATTTGTATTATTAATTGTTTTAATCTATGTATGGTTTCTGTTTTTGTTTGGATGTTCGCGAGATTTTGAAGGAGTGAAAGACTATCTGTATGTATGGCTATTCTTTCCGAATTGCTTTTATTAATTAATATATACTTTAATGCTTCTTCGAATGCTATTCTTTCTGCATCATATATGGTTGCATAATTGGGAAGTTTAAATTGTGATACCTTTTCTATTGTCCCTGTTGGTAATATGGCCACAAATGCTGCACCGACTTTATTTGGAGAAAAAGAACCATCTGTATATATATGTAGGTTGCAGGAAACGGTTGTGTTTTGTTGGAATTCTATTTTAAATTTTTTTGAGGGATGTAAAATCCAGCGATCGTACATGTATTCAGTATTCTGTTTATTATATAATTGGTTATTACATTCTATTTCTTTATTTTCTTGGAAAATTAAAAATTGTTTAACTTCTTTTTTTAGTGTAATATGTATTGGTGGGATGTTGCATAATATGGGAAGACTGAGATTACTGGATGTATTGTATGCTCGCGCGATGTTTAAGAGAGGTATCCGTTGTAGCGAAATTACTTTTCTTAATAAATGTGTGTTATGGGTTTCTCTCCACCATATACTGGCACCATAAACTATATATCTTTCTATGCACCTCAAATATAATTCTTTTTGTTGTTTTTGATTTATTCCCCAATGTATTTTGGCAAAAGTTGTCATTTTTAATGTATGTTTTAATATTTTTTCTCTAAGATATTCTATGTGTGGTATAAAGGATAGGTTTACATCAAAGACAACCCCTAATAATCGTAATGTGGTTACATATTTCAGGTTATGGTTATTAATCCTTACTGTAGGCGGTCTTCCTTGGGAAAGGCGTTTACCTGCTGCAATTAACATACAGTAACATTTTGAATAATTTAAATTCAGACGATGTTCGGTGGACCATTGAGAAATTATTTCTAAAGTTATATTTGCTATTGTTTCAATTTCTCGTCTTGTTTTTCCAGTAATAACTAACGAGCGACAGAATTCTAGAATTCTAAGTGGAGAGTGGAAACAAGACTGAAAAATAAAGTTCTCTCCAACCTGTGCCACTCGAGGTATAACAGGTTTAAACCAATAAAAATAATAAAAAAAATATAATAAATTAAATAAATAAAGCTAAATTGCTTTTGCCTTTTTTGTATAAAATTGCCAATTAGAAAAAGGGAAGAAGCGAAACCTCGCAATTGAACGGGCCTGTAAAAATCGCGGGGTTTTTTATTTTCTTTAAGTGTATTCTTAGAATCTCCTTTTCTATAGTTTGCGATTTATATTTCCCGTTGCAGTCCTTGTGTCTTGTTTCTGTTTCTTCTGGCTTGAGGTGTTTTCTTTAACTTGTGGTTTATTGTAAGCTGTAAAAAATGAGAAGTAAAATAAGTTAGTAAATCTATTAATATGTTTATTCATAAATATACCTGCTCATGTGTTCACCTGCTTTGTTCGTTTATAGCTATTGGTAATTGTCAGCTTAAAGCTAATCGAAAAATGGTTTGGTCAAATAATTTTATCACTAATGAAATTTTGAAAAGTTTTAAGTAATATGTTTTGAGAAAGCCTTATTCAAGCCCAGTGACCGGAATATCCGGACCGCCAGGCTCTCGCTTGTTTTGTAAAGTGAATTGATTTTTGATTGAGTGTTTCAAGATAAGAAGTGGTTTTATAGTTATAATTGGTGAATCAGTGTTAACGCTAATAAATAAATGCAAAAAGAAAGGATCTAAATATCTGTATATAGAGAGAGAATAAGACAATACAAATATACAATTATAATGGTGTGTGATGTCAAGTTGTGGGGTAACTATAGTGTAGAATATTGTCTAGATTGCGCCACAAAACAATTTGAATAATTTTGAAATCTATGCTTTGTTAGTAGGAAATAATTATTATGTGAAGTCCGTATTGGTTATGTACAGCTATTTACATGGTGCGAATGTAGAGAAATAAAATTAGCGATGTGTGTGAAAACAGATTATGCTAGTGTTTGAGTGGTTACTTTCGGTGGAGTATTTATTACGATAAGCTAAGAATATATAATTTAGAAATTTTTTTTTTTTTTCAACTATATTTATTATTTTGTCATTTCTATCAATAATGTACTGATGTAAGGTGGGCACAAGGATAATTAGGGAAATAGTGGTTTTAAAGGTCAAAATAACGACATTAAAAGATGTGTTATTTTGAGAATATGGCAGTAACACTTGTGAAAGCACTTGCATCAATGAGTTTAGAATGATCCGTTTTGATGGGTATACTCTATTTTCATACTTAGTTTATGAATCCAGGCCATCCACATGATCTCCCAGTATACACATTTGTACATTATTTACATATTTACATTTTTTCTTCTATTTGGAAACATGGAGAATGTTAAGTTATATATTTTTTTTTTCTTTTTGTAAAAAGAATGTTAAGGGTTACATTTACTGGTTTGTAAATTTTATATCTCATATCGAATTATCCACCATCTGTCCCTTTACATTGTTTTTTTTTTTTTTTTTTTTTTTTAATTAAGTATTGTAATGTTTTCTTCTTTCTTTTTATGTGTGGCCAGCAAGGTTCGATGTATCTTAGCGGGTTGATGTTAGAATTAGAAGAATATGTTGAATTGTAGGTTGCAGGGATGTTTCCCATTCAATTCAATTCAATTGAAAGCAGCAATTTTGGTTAAGGTTTTTCGTGCGAGTCCGGAAGATTTTCATCCGCCGGACCGGGCGACTCCTGGTCTGGATGGCACACCAGGTAGCCCCCTACCACCTTTTCAGGGATGGTACGCCACAACCTTGTTTCTAATTAGGTTTTCCTTTTGGTTTCAGGTTTCTCTGCGGGTTCGCAAGATATTTATCCGCCAAACCGGGCGACTCTTGGTCTGGGTGGCGCACCAAGTAGCCCCCCACCAACCCATAAGGGAAGGCGCGCCATGAACCGTCAACCAAGCCACCTCCCTGTCAGCCATCATCTTGCATTCCCTGTTGTCTGCTGTTTTCTGTTGAACGCCTTTTTGCTGTTTAATTAGGTTACTACCTCTTCCTGAATAAACATCATCATCCTCTCCATAACCTTTATGGCTTTGACATTCGACAAAATTGACCATTTCGTAGCATTATCGAATACGGTATATTTAAGTTTGTTTAATTCGTTACGGAAAGTCAATGTCCAAGGGCAGGTAGTTAGATAATGTTCGAAATTAGCGGTCGGAAGTCCGCAAAAGCAATTATTAGTATTCGTTATTTTAAATCTAAAAAGATAAAAAGGAAATCTTCCATGCCCGGTTATAATTTGTGTTAAAAGATGTGAAGATGGGAACATTTCCGGTATGTTGTATACAGTGGGAATCCATGTAAATAGTTCTTTTTCTCTGCCCAATCTTTTCCACTCATCATCCCATTCCCTCCTTACTTCTTTATTTAATTCTTTTTTAACGGTTTTTTGTGAATAAAGACAAGAAACTATTCTTCCATTAAAGTGTGCTAATTTCGCGTAGTGGTCTGCCAGATCATTCCCTTCATCACCTGCATGAGCCTTCACATAGAAAAAATGTATGGTATTTTTATTTTGTATTTGTATTATTAATTGTTTTAATCTATGTATGGTTTCTGTTTTTGTTTGGATGTTCGCGAGATTTTGAAGGAGTGAAAGACTATCTGTATGTATGGCTATTCTTTCCGAATTGCTTTTATTAATTAATATATACTTTAATGCTTCTTCGAATGCTATTCTTTCTGCATCATATATGGTTGCATAATTGGGAAGTTTAAATTGTGATACCTTTTCTATTGTCCCTGTTGGTAATATGGCCACAAATGCTGCACCGACTTTATTTGGAGAAAAAGAACCATCTGTATATATATGTAGGTTGCAGGAAACGGTTGTGTTTTGTTGGAATTCTATTTTAAATTTTTTTGAGGGATGTAAAATCCAGCGATCGTACATGTATTCAGTATTCTGTTTATTATATAATTGGTTATTACATTCTATTTCTTTATTTTCTTGGAAAATTAAAAATTGTTTAACTTCTTTTTTTAGTGTAATATGTATTGGTGGGATGTTGCATAATATGGGAAGACTGAGATTACTGGATGTATTGTATGCTCGCGCGATGTTTAAGAGAGGTATCCGTTGTAGCGAAATTACTTTTCTTAATAAATGTGTGTTATGGGTTTCTCTCCACCATATACTGGCACCATAAACTATATATCTTTCTATGCACCTCAAATATAATTCTTTTTGTTGTTTTTGATTTATTCCCCAATGTATTTTGGCAAAAGTTGTCATTTTTAATGTATGTTTTAATATTTTTTCTCTAAGATATTCTATGTGTGGTATAAAGGATAGGTTTACATCAAAGACAACCCCTAATAATCGTAATGTGGTTACATATTTCAGGTTATGGTTATTAATCCTTACTGTAGGCGGTCTTCCTTGGGAAAGGCGTTTACCTGCTGCAATTAACATACAGTAACATTTTGAATAATTTAAATTCAGACGATGTTCGGTGGACCATTGAGAAATTATTTCTAAAGTTATATTTGCTATTGTTTCAATTTCTCGTCTTGTTTTTCCAGTAATAACTAACGAGCGACAGTGGGAAATCGTCGCTCGTCGCTGACTCTCGTCGCTGTCGCCTTCGCTCGTCTCGTCGATCGCTAAATCGCTTACATGCGGTTCAGCCTTAACTGTCCAATGGAGCAAAGCCTGTGAAAAACGGCACCTAAATTCCCATTGGCTGAGGGTAACGAGACCTATATTCCCGTTGGGTGCGACGCGTCATATGACGCCGCACCGGCCACATGACGAGTCATCTGGCGCATCGCGCGTCATCTGGCGGCGTAGCGGGAAAGGGGGGAGGGGTGGGGCGGCGCGGGTATGCACTGGCCTGACGTTAGGCTAGCCGTTAGGCCTATCGTTACGATTTGAGGTCTAACGTCGTCAACCGGTACGCGCAGCTATTTGACGTGAAGGGGGGGGGGGGGGGGGGCGGACGTGGGTAAGAGCAGACCTGACGTTAGGCCTGCAGTTAGGCCTGACGTAAGGCCTACAGTTAGGCCTAACGTTAGGCTTTAAGTTCTGATGTCGTCTCCCGGTACTTTGAGGACGTTCTAGACGTCGTCCTCTAGGCGTCGTCCTTGAGGTCCTCCAAGAGGTCCTAGGCGTCGTCCTCTTGGTGTCGTCCTGAACTTTAATACGTGTACAAACATTACTCGAAAACATTTCACCCGCGGGGCTTCAATGCTTTCGCATTCCTAGACGTAAGCAGTCTTAACTGTCCTCCTGTAATTTTGTCTTGCCTGATCACCCGAAGGTCATCCTGGAGATTTTCCGCACCGCCTGGTGATAGTTAGGGGGAGAGAATTGGTTTAATAAGGCGGGGGAATCATGTGTCTTTCATTTTAGATTTAGGCTAGGTGGCGCAAGCTACTGTCCGTTACAAAGTGTATAGCCATTAACGTCCATCCATCCATCCGGACCAGGTAGCCCACATGCCAAATCGCCCGTGGTCATTTCCAGCGCGAGGGGGCCATGTGCAATTGGCCACGCGCATGGCGCTTCGCCGCTGAGAAAAAGAGGTTGCAACGTATGCGTAGGGGGCTCCTGGGATCGCGGAGCGGGCGATAACGGTCAACAAATGACCTTTTCTTGTTGAACCAGTGCATCGTGTCATTTTCCGAGACGGGTAGCAACAAGAAAATTTCAAAAAATTTTCTCGCTAAATTTAGCGGAGATGCTGAGAAATGCTTGGAGACGGTTGCAGATGATCGACGCCAAATCGACGCTTTCGGCTCCTCCTCGCGTCGTGTAATGCAAGCGCGGTCATAAACCACGTGACCCGAATCGAACTGTTCACAAATAAAAAAAGAAACTTTAAAATTGATCAGACATTGATCTCCGATAAGAAAAGATGATTTTGAGGGTAAAAAAATGGGTTGTGCGTATGTTTATACAACCTAGAACTTAGTCTGCCTCAACGGGCGACTTGTCTCCCAGCTGTAGATGAGTAATTTAGCCAGTGCAGTACAACCGCTAGCCTGGTGTCTTTAACGTGCATCACGCCGTAGTGACACACGACCGCAAGCCCGTACAATGCTCATCCAGTTACAAAAGGGCATCGGTAGATCGAACCCAGGACTTCTGGGTTCTGCAGCGCTAGCTTTTGCTCCGTGTGCTCCGGGCTAGTGTGCGCTAGCCCACTCGGCCACCGATCACCCGTGAATGTTTTTGAGTCAAATGCAGCGCGGGTTTTGTCAATGTAGTGTAGGATTTTGTTATGTTTGCTAATAACACTCACAACATAGGCACGAGACAAGCAAGAAACAAGTTTTATCGGGCTATTTCAATTACATATCAAAACCGATCGCCATATCTCGGCTGTTGGGTCACCCGGACGTCCTTCGTTGGCAGAAAACCGCCGCAAGTAACACATTCACGTTCTTCGTTTGTTTGTTTTTCTCTTTTTTTTTTAGTTCGTACTCAGGTAAGCTCTATTTTCCGAATTTTTTCTAAACGAAATTATCTATCTTGGGCCACTTCTGTACAAAATCTTAGCTCGATGCGTTAAGACACCGATTTAAGGCTCATTCACGCTGCCCCATTTTCTTACGTTAACTTACGTTACAATATATTAAGTTAAAGTCACGCGACATTCGAGACACGAATGTTTTGGTGATTTGTACGTAACATAACGTAAGAAAAGGGGGCAGTGTGAATGAGCTTTTAGGCTGCCTTTTCAAACGGTTAACGACCCCTTTCGCTCTCGCGCTATATTTCACAGATATTGGCCCTCAATTAAACGATTCGATTAATGACCGACAGACCTCTACTTCCGCGTGCGGCGGATTAACGTTCACAAGGATTTTAGTTCGGTCGACCACAAAATAAATTTGCCTCTTTTTAGCCCATCTTTGCACTTTCTTTCTTTAACTTGCGGTATCGCTGTTTTGTTTCTTTTTAATTATTATTCCTCGTAGTTAATCACGGAAGGCAGAATCCTCTGAGAGTAGTAATACCATCCAATACATTTTTTATTATTATGCTTCCAGGCCACGCGCTCTAACGAAAAAATAATTCGCAATATCTTTATTGTGTGTGCGTAATTTATTAAATAGAAAAGCACACGAAAGCTTCCCAAGTCACGTCGCCCCAGCAACTTTTAAACTCGCCACATACAAGCGAGAACCCTAATTTCTTAATGAAATGTAGTCGGCCGATCCACAGCGAGTATCGAAGATAAAAATCAATTCCACGTCAATTTAATCTTCGTCGGGTACGCCGCTACTCTTCTTGTATATTGCTGAATATAAAAAGAAAACTACAGCGCAGTAAGAAGGGTGGTAAAAAGAGCGAAAAAAGGCTAGGTGCATGGCCGGAAAACACCGAGGTACGCCTCAAAGTCGTGACTAAATTTAAAGCGTGTCCTATTTCAAATTTCTCCAAAGCCTGATAAACCCATTAACGCTCCCTGATTTCGAATAATCGTATTAACGCTTACTCAAAGTCGTTCTGGAGCTAAAGCGTCCCAGAGACTTTGAATTACTTCCAAGTGACATCATCGCACCATGCCGGTGGCCGGTGCGATGACCTCACTTGGAAGTCATTCATTCAGTGTCATGAGCACGACTCCGGTGGGTGTGTTTACCGCGTCCAAAAAAGGGGTCCCTCAATTTCCGCCTCATGACGTCATAAAGGTTTCACGCTGTCGACAGTCGCGATCCTAGCGGCGTCCCAAAAGCGGTGGTGGATGCGGCAGACGGCTGTTCTGCTGCGGCTCGCTCTGTGGTGCTTGACAGTCCACGGAAGCTTCGGCACCCAGGAGTTGGGACGCCACGACGACAGCGACACTCTCGTTGGCTCGTGTTTCTTGCCAGTATTTCTACAACCAACCGCCAGGATTCTGATATCCAACAGCATGACACTACTGCTTTTGTGGAGTCATTTGTTGCCACTTTTGGGCCACTTTTGATGTATGGGCGGGGTAGGACGATAATTGTGAATTCACACGGCGGACATGTCCCAGGACACGTTCC